TTTCCCAAGACGCAAGGTGGAACCCTCGGTATCCTGAGCTCTAGTCCATCTGGGAGGGAACGGAAGCTCAGAGGTTCACGTGAAACTACGAGCCAGAACCTCAACCTGTGAATGGCAGGCCTGGGCCGAAGCACCAGGACCTCTACACATCAGTAGGCGGGGCTGCCCTCAGCACTGAGGCTCCTCGGGTTTTCCAGTCATTTCCAAAGACATTCAAGGGGGCAGGCAGCAAGAGAAAATGAGAAGAAACGTGGACGTATAATCTCCGAAATTATAACCCACAATTAACACGTGTAGAACTTAAACACTACTTTTACTAACTCAGTATAGCTGCATTAAGTGAGAAATCAGAAAAATTCCCTCTGCTACATCACACAGTGTTTATTATTTCTCCCAGAGCATTTGTTCTAGCGTCCAAATAAAAAACCAACTTTCCTGGGACCAATAGGTGGCACGGTGGTTAAGGCACATGGTTGACCATGGTTCGAGTCTTGGACCTGGTGGCTTGCTTTCTCACTTTTTCTCTCTCTCTCTGGACAAATTAAAATTTTTAAAAAAAGAAGGAAATAAAGAAAGAATGAATGAATAAAATCAAATAAATAAATAAATAAAAAATCTTTCCTGAGTCTTGAAAAACAAGGTGGTGAGATTTCCAGACTCATGGACTCAAACGTCCCTTCTTTGGGTTACAGAAACTTCCCTCCTCTGTCTAGCTCCAGCAGGTTTTAGCAGGACACACTATCGGGTCTCTGGAGCGAGGGAACAGCTCCAGGGAACATGCGCACAGCCTGCTTTCTCAGTGCCCTCTCCGCAGGTGATGTGTGCGAGGGAGCGAGGGAGCGCCCGCTTCTGGCCCTACCCCGCCAACGCTTTCGTTTTATTTTTGGAGAGGTTTTTGCTATAGGGCGTGAGCGCTCACCAGAAAGACAGAGACAGAGCGACAGAAAGCAAGAAATCACCCTGCAGGGAGGATGGCCATGCTGCAATCCCTTCTCCTCCATCCTCCTCTTGGGATCTTGGGCATGTACATACATGGGCTGATGTGAGTGTAAGCCACCGGGTCTGGGACTTGAACCGCCATGGACTACATGGGAGTCCAGTGACATAGCCATTACGCCAACTGCTGGTCCCTGATAATGCTCTCTTGAGAATTAGAGCAACTAGCTGATTTGAATCTGCACTGTGTTCATGAATAAAACCTGTGTACTGCCTGCTTTTATCTGGAGATTAAACCCTCGGTGGATTATTTTAAACCAGGGGTCATCAACCCTTTTTTACAACGGACCTGAGTAAATATTTTAGGTTTTTGAGGACCACATAAGGTCTCTGTTGGATATTATTTAATAAAGAAGAAATGGGGTCAGCAGGTGGTGTAGTGGTTAAGATGCTGGACTCCCACGTGGCTGATTGTGGTTCAAGTACCGGATCTGACAGCTTGAAACACTGGGCGTGTACACATGCATGCCCAAAATTCCAAGAGGAGGATGGAGAAGGGATTGCAGTGTGGTCATCATCCCCCTGGGGGGGGGGTGATTTCTCTCTTTCTGTCTCTCTAGTGAGCACACATATCCTATATCAAAAATCTCTCTCAAAAAAAAAAAAAAAAAGAAAAACCTTTGAAAATATAAAACCTGTTCTTGGGGGCTGGGCAGGTGGCATGGTGGTTAAGGACACTGGACTCTGACATGGCCTACCACCACGGCTCAAGTCCTGGACCTGGTGGCTTGCTTTCTCACTATCACTCTCCCTCTCTCTCTCTGGTAAAATGGAATATTACTACTACTACTACTAAAACTGAAAAAATAATTTAAGAAATATATATAGAAACTTTTCTTGAGTCATATTTAAAAAGCCTCAAGTTCACTTCCCCCTTCACTAAACACATCCTCTCAGTGGGCTCTGGTCAGCCTGTTTGGATTGAGTGGAACTTGACTCATCCAGAGCTCAGAGGGCAGCTGAGGGAGAGCCACCATGCTGGCGACTTCTCCCCTAGTGATCACAACGGTGATTCTGACCTTGCTTGGTTTTGCTTTAAGTAGTCTGAACCGCGGATAGGGAGAAAATGTCAATAAAAACACTGAGATCTGACAAGGCTGGTTTATTTCATAACGACCAGAGGTAGCTGATATGGGAAACAGCAGGCAAGTGAGTCATCAGAGCCCTCTCTGGGCTTAGTTCGCCCAGCACAGGCCCCTCTCTGGGCAAAGGGGATCTTTGGGGGCTCACAAGGTCGAGGGGCACAGCGAACCAGGGAAGGAAACCCGGCTTGCAGGAGGCGTCCCCAGATGGGGACCTCAATTTCTACAGAACGGCTCAGAGGGTTCCACAAATGGTAGAACTTTATTTCAACAAAAAGTCCTCTTTTTAAGTTGACCCCTTACCCCAACACTCGAAAGCAGCTTTGCCTATAAAAAGCAGCCATTTATTTAGACACGCTCTTCTTAGGCAACTTCAAGTGTTTCCACCGCCGTAACACCACTCTGTGTTTTTCACTCTCGGTTTTCTCTTCGAACACTTTCTTCAGGAGAATCCGCATCACTGTCTCTGTTTCAGCTTCTTTATCCTCTCCAATGAGAATATCTAATGTATCTCCCACTTTCACCTAAAAGGAAAAGGAAACGGAGCCTTTATTAGGCTTTAGACCCATGCCAAAGCAAACATCCCTGCTCTGAGTGTTCGTTATCCAGAGGAGAGGCAGGTGAGAAAGGGCCAGGGCGCCCCATGTCTGTTACCGTCCCTAGTCACTCGGCAGGAAAGGGCCTCCCTGGGCGGAGGGTGCTGGAGGCACGTGGGGCTCTATGGCGGCCAGTGTCCTTCCTTCAGGCCTAGACAACTGGTTGTCAGTGGATGAGCCCGTGGGGAGCTCGGATACATCTGTGGGGTGATTGAGAGAACGTTTGAACGGGGCCATCTATTTTGGTAGCACCTGACAAAAGACAGAGTGAGTGGGGCGCGGATACAGAGGCCATGGCCACAGTAACCGTCACATGTCTGAGAAAGCCGTTTCCCCTGCAACGCGTTTCATGCTGGCACGCATGCACACACCCCCAGCGTGAGTTTAAGCCACCAGGTCCTGGACTCGAACTGCGGTTGACTACGTGGGAGTCCAGCGACATGGCCATTAAGCCAACTGCTGGTCCCTCATTTAATTTTTTTAAATAATTTTTTTTTTGGTGAGTTTTTTTTTGCTATAGGGCGTTTGCGCTCGCCAGAAAGACAGGGAGACAGAAAGCGAGAAATCACCCCCCCCCAGGGCGGATGGCCATGCCGCAATCCCTTCTTCTCCAGTAGGAGCAGGTTTTAAACCATGAACTTCCCCCCTCCTGGGCAGAGAAGCAGAAAGGCTCACACCGTGGCTCAGCATCAAGACTGCTTCTCCCTGGTTGAGGGATGGGCTGACCGTAGCCTTAGCTAAGGAACCCTATCCTGGCCCTACTGTATGTAGTGCTCCTGGGCTCACCTGTAAAAATGACCCCAGCCTGTGTGGACATTTAGAAAGCCACTGTCCAGGAACAAAAGGCTTGGGAGTTCTGCTTCACCCTTTTAGGCATAACTATTTCATTAAAATTCATTTTTCATAACTAATATGTGCATGTGATGCAAAATTTTTTATTTTTATTTATGTATTAGTGACGAGTACACTGAAATTTTCTTCTGAAACATGTTTTTTAAAATTAATTTACATTCACTCCCTGAGCATCATTTCAGCATACGAAATGTGATTTCCCATCCAGAATACACCACAGAGAGGCTTCATCATGCATGTTATAGTCACTATTTTTCCATTTCCAGTTTCATATGTGTATATATACTTTACCCTTATTTCTTACCCTCTGCCATTTCCCACCTTCCTCCCACACTATCTCAGGTGTCTACAGCTGTTTTCCATTCTTTTTTTCCCCCACACTTTATTGATTCACAAAATTTCTTAAATAGTCTAACGACTTTCAATAGCAAGTTCAGCTGATATATCCATATCTGTGAACACATGTCTGACTGTAGGTGTGAAACTCCGAGTAGAATGAATATAAGGTAGCACCTAGCTGATGCCATATAGCTTACTACGGTCATTAAATAGGTATTTAAAAATATTTTTTTAATGTCAAGAAAAGCAGTTTTAGCTTTAATAAGTCAAAGAAATGCTAAGGAACTATGTATGCTTAAAACTTAAAGCCAGGAAACAGGTTAGGATTCTGTTCAAATAGTAGGTACATGAGCCTATGAGCAACTCAAGATAGGACAAAAATCCCTAAAACTGGAAAACAAAACCTAGAAGATCAGAGTGCATCAGATTCAGTGGGAATAGAGGAATATTCTAACCCAATCGTATTCGGATGCTTGGAAGCTGTTCACTTGGACCTACCTAGACACTTAGTGTGTAGAAGCCACTAGAAATGAATCTGGTATAAGAAGTCTCAGCAGAAAATCTTCATTTTTGGTAAAAAAAAAAATCAATATTTCAGAGCTGAAGTTCAGTATCCATCTCAGGATGGGCCTGGCCTTGCCAGCATGATTTTTCAAGCTGCCAGGTCTGGGACTAAAACCAAAGTCAGCCATGTGGGAGTCCAACACCTTAACCACCATGCCACCTGCTGGTCCCTATTTCTTTCTTTTTTTTTTTTTTTTTTTTTTAA